TCACATGGGATGGTGGGCTACGCCCACCCGCAACTAAGATTGAACACGGCACCTTGAGCTAAGCAGCTGCGAGCTGCTGATGGGAGGCCGGATGGCTCAGTGTGCAACAAGTTTGCCGGTTCAACTCCCGCAGGGGATGGTGGACTACACCCCCCGTAACTAGATTGAAAGTGGCGACTGAACTTGGAGCTGAGCTTACACCCACCACAACTAAGGTTGAAGGATAACAACTGACTTGAAGCTGATGGGTCCTGGAAAAACATAATGTTCCCCTTCCCCAATTCCCCATCACTGTTCCCCTTCCCCAATTCCCCAATAAAATCTTTTTTTTAAAGAATTAATTAAACAACTTTTATTTTTCACTCACTGAGCATAAACATCTTTCTAATATGATTGCTTCATTCATATAGCCTATACTGAATAGTCTTTTCTGATAATTCACTGCTGTTTAAAGTAAACTAATTTGTCAAATAGATGAACCACTCACAATATCCATTTTGTAATTACTATTGTATTTAGGATCCATAAATCCTAAGTTCCTGTATTTAGGAACACTAACCACCTCTCCTGTATTGTTGACCATACACAATTTGACACTAAAATTCCACCCACTCTTTCCGTGGTGTGCAGTGGTCTAGTTAGTGCAGTCACTGACTCAGCCTCAGGACACTTCTATTGGTCACACAGTCTTTGTCAGAAGATACAGATTTCACAGGAAGATGTGAGCTGACTTTCCAGGCCGTGATCCACTGGGGCCTCTGGTCGGTGTGCAGAATGGTACTTGAGGCCTTTGTGGGAGATGTAATCTACTCTCACTGCCAGAAGGTATTTGTCAAAAGAGAAAGCCTGTTCTGACTCGTGAGAAGCATGTAGTTTTCCACAAGTTTCTCAGAGTTGTAATTTTAACTTTCCTTCCCTTTATATCTTTTTTTTTCTATTAATTTATGTGATATGTTTTCTTGTAACCTTATGAGATATGGTATTTTTTTAAATGTATCTTGCTCTAAATTCAAGGACAATGTTATCCATTACAAAACTCTGTTCTATAGAAACGGAGGTGCCATTAACACTGTATTTGACATAAATGGTATGCCCTGGAGCACAACACCATATGCATAAAGCATGCAGATTATAGTATTTTTGTATTTGAGTAGAGAGTGCAACCACCCCTGGTCAAGGAATTTTTATTCTTTTCTTTTTTTTTTTTTTTAAAGCTGAGCCATCCTGCCACTTGTTGGCAGCTCAGCGGCAGCTCAGGAATTTTTATTCTTATATAACCTTTAACAACACTACACACTTCCAAGACTCTGAGTTAGAACTAAAGTTTTATTATTTACTTATCCTCCCTTTGTATCACATGATGTAATAGTAGGTATGTACTGCTTGACCCATTAAATATTTCAAAGGTATCAATGTTTTCTATTATCTAATAATTTCAAATTATACATTGCAACCAGTTTCATCTCTGCTGGAATAGGATGAGATGATTCCTAGAAGAAGAAACAGATGGCTCTGATTGGTTGTGATGTGTCTTTGTGGGCCTGGCCAAATCAATCCACTGCCTTGTATCTCACTTTCTCTTGATAAAAGTGAACTGGCAGTTTAAGAAAACTAACCCAAGAACTGGGAGGTCTATGGATAGAGCTGGGCTTCCTGTTACTCTCTAGTCCCAACTTCCTGTTAAAACTTCATGGTTCTAACTTCCTAGGGGAGATATATATATATATATATGTGTGTATATATATATATATATATATATATACACATATATATATACATATACATATATATATACATATATATATATATATGTATATATATGGGGGCCATCTTGGGAGGAGAGTTACTTTGCATGTAGGCGGCCAACCAGAGGAGCACATTCTCACACTGCTGCGATGGTTTTTGCCTTTTTCTTTTCCCAAATAAACGCTCTTTTGGTGAACTACCTGGAAAACTATTTTTATAGTCAACACTCTGTGTATATATAGTAGGAACCAAAGTGCCAGACCCAAATCTGCCCTAATAATATAAGACCATTATGTGAAACATTCTCCAATTTCTTCTTTAACATTAATAATCATAGGTGATTGCTGTCCATGGTGGGATACTGTTCGTTATTTTCCCAGCATGTTGCTGAGGAAAGGAGAGTTTTTATTAAGTATGATGTTTTCTGGTTAGAGCCTCTACCTTGCATATATTTGTGCCAATCTATGGTTAGTGTTAGCTAGAACAGTAATGTATATGCTAATAAGAAATCTCTTCCCTTTTCATTCTCCACACAAGTGCTCAAACATTCAGGAAATGAGGTTTGTGATTATATGATAAAAGCTTATCATCCTTTATCTGCCCAGCATATGTTCTAGAGTTTTTGTGCTAATCAGCAGTTATACATCATTTTCACAATCAACCAAAATAAAGGGGGAAATTTTATTCTTAATTTTGTCCTGTCAAATACTTCTATTTATTCACTGCTTATCCATTAGATAACTTTTTCATAAGACACTATTTAAAAAATTAATACTGCATATACACTAAAGTGATTGAATTATGGATCCCATGTTCTCAGGCAAGAGAATATTCACTTATCACACAGAATGTTTCAGTTTCATTTTAACTGAGCTTCTCTCAGTGTTGACTAGCAGAGTTTCTGCATGCTCAAGAGGAAGCCTAAACACATATATTATATAACTTTACCAACTAAAACCAAACAGACGTTTTTAAATAGCATAGTTTACATGAAGACTACAAAATTCAACACATACACAAAGACTGCAAGAATTCAACACAGTGTTAAAACCTCTGCAATACAATGATCAAAAGACATTCTACTTTTACATGACTATTTGCATATTTATTTTACTTAGAACCTAAGACACAAGAAAGAAGTCTGAGACATACAATCTGGACTTCTCCATGTTAATATGAAGGCAACAACCAGAAATAATGAAACAACAGTTTATCCAATGATTTAGAAAGCTGGGGTGAAATTAACTACTGAGTCCTATTTAATCAAACATATGCCATACTAGGATGCCAATCCATGCCTTTCTCCAGACAACACAGCAATATCAATTTGTATGTTTTTTTAGCAGTCCTATCCAAATATTCCAAGGCAGCTCCAGGTCGATCTGTGGTAGGGATGATGCAGTGGACACATGGATCACTCTTTTCTCCCCATCTGTGTCCAGAAGATGTCAAAGTATGATTACCGATTTTATGAAGACAGATGGGGTTTCAAATTCAGATGATTGCACCTGGTTCTATTTGTGGACACTCTACTCTTTGTTCATCACATTAGGTGATACAACAGCTATTCTAAGATTAAAGTTTTAATTTTTAAAAATTATTGAGGAGTCATGAAATAATTTTTGAGTCATCAAGACAATCAACAAGGGGTCCGTCCGAGTGGCTCAGTTGGTTAGAGCGCGAGCTCTGAGCTGCAGGGTCGCCACTTTAATTCCCACACGGGCCAGTGAGCTGCGCCCCAGTGGAACTGCCGCTGAGCTGGTGAGAGCGTCTGCTCTTAACAACAAGGTTGCTGGTTCAACTCCCGCAGAGGATGGTGGGCTGCACCCCCTTGCAACTAAGATTGAACATGGCACCTTGAGCTGAGCAGCCACGAGCTGCCGATGGGAGGCCGGATGGCTCAGTGTGCAACAAGGTTGCTGGTTTGACTCCCGCAGGGGATGGTGGACTATGCCCCCCACAACTAGATTGAAAGTGGTGACTGAACTTGGAGCTGGGCTTGCGCCCACCACAACTAAGGTTGAAGGACAACAACTTGATCTGAAGCTGATGGGTTCTGGAAAAACATAATGTTTCCCTTCCCCACTCCCCAACACTGTTCCCTTCCCCAATTCTCCAATAAAAAAAAAGAAAATCAATAAAATGTTTCCAAGAAATTTCAGAGATACTACAATGAATTCCAAGAGGCCGCTGAGGCCCACTAATACAGGACTGTTCAAATGCCATAATGTCCATCATTCAAAATGCATTGGAGATGAAAAACTGTAGTTTGAACAATTTGCTGTTATCAGTCATCCAAGGTAGGAGGTTTCTAAATTTACATGTTCTAAACTGATAACTAGCAATTATCTCATTGATCCTAATAACTTTGAGGCTAAAGAAGCAATTCTCATTCACCCAAATCAGAGATGGGATTTGCATCCCCCGATCCAAGTGATAGTTTTTCCCTTCCACATATTTTTAAAAAGGTATTTTGAACTTAAATAATTAAGCAATTGATTGATGCCCATCAAACTAAGTAAACAAAACCTGCTGGTGACACTAACACTTTCACTCACACTTAACACCGAGTCATAGGAAAGAAATATTTTTAGAAATTTTCATTCCTGTTTGGAAAACTATAATCAATCACCATAGTCTGGTTAAAGCTCTGCCCTCACGTCTGAGCCTTCAGCTGCAAATGTTTGGGCAAACCCATGTGTCAGTCCTCTCTCTTCATCAACTTTCATCTCCCATAAGTGGAGATAAATTAATTAATTAATTAATTAATTAATTAATTAAGATCATGGTGCTGCCAGTTTCCATTGTGATTCCAGAACCAGACATTAGATTCACCCAACTACCAGGTGCTGTCTGGGACTAAGGAATAAAGCATACATAATCCTTATATACATAGCTCTCCATGGAAAGAAATCTCCAGGAGAGAGAAATACAAGGGCGTTAGTCATTTCAGTTTCCTGGCTCTCAAAGTGCAAGGGATGAAGAATACCAGGAGAAAGGGAATGAAAGAATGCATATACATTTCTCTTTAATCTCATTTTTTCCTCAGAAATTTGTGAGGTTAGGACATATATATTTATAAAGTTCTCAGTCCTGGAAAACAATACACAAAGAATTGCAACGAACTGGTTCAAGATGTATGAGAGAGGTCCACGACGACAAAGGGGAATGGGGGTAGAAAGAAGCGATGACTAGTAAGCAGGTGGTGTAAAGAGGAGGTCAGCTGGTGCGCTCAACTGCAAAAACAGTGATCTATTTTACGACGCTCCGCGCTGGGCAGCTGGCTCCGCAGAGGGGTGCCACAAGCGGGAGGCTGGGTAACTGGCTGCTGGCCTTTCTCCAGTGAAGCGAGCTGAGTACCCCTAGAGCCTAAAAGTCTTGTAGCGTTTTCAGGTGGCCGCAGGGGTAAGAAAGGGGAAATGCAAAGAAAGGGGCTGGAACAGGAAGGGGGAATTATCACTAGTCTTATCACTACTGTAGGGAGTCACAGTCGAGCTCCAGCCTCCTCCACCCACGCCTCTGCTACACACACACACGCACGCACACACACATACACACACACCCTTCCCTTCCTCTCGCGTCGGCCAGCCTAGCGCACCTGGGAGAAGAGGGCGAGGAACGCACGCGCCTTGACTCTCTTCTCCATCTGTTAAAGCACTCGGAGAAGGACTCGGGGACCCGGCCGGCTGTTTCTCAGCTTGAGCAAAGCACAGCCAGGCGCTACTAGAAACCGAAGCAAAGCGCAGAGAGACAAGCGCGGAGCTGACTCCGGGGGCGGGCCGCGGCATCCTCGGCCTTCACCCGGTAATAGAGTGGAGGTGTCCACCTAGAGCCGGTGTTGCGCACGGCTTGGGAGGGAGGCAAGTATGGGGACGGGGAAGGATGTTCCCAGCATTTGTGCCTTCCTCACCTCCCCTTACAACCCTCCCATGTCAAGTTCAGGGGTCGCCTCAATGCCCTTCGGCTTTAGGAAGCAGCCAGTGTGCGTTCTCAGCCGCAATGGACCTGGCAAATTCAAATTTCGGTTGCACCCACAGCGCTTCAGATTCACTAGATCTGAGGCGGAGTCCGAGAATCTGCATCTCTAACAAGTTTTGGGGCGGGAGCGTCTGGAAGATTGTGGGTCAGGAACAGAACTCTGACCGCCGCAGGGCTGGCGATGCCGGGGTGCGGGAGCGGGGCGCGTGGGGACGTCAGGCGGCGGCGCGGCACGCTAACATCTGGCGAAGGCTCCTGCGGAAGCTGTCGTCCAGGAAGGCGTATAGGAAGGGGTTGAGGCAGCTGTTGGTATAGCTCAGACTGGTGATGAAGTAGGAGACAGCGATGACCAGCGGCGTCTGCGGGAGGTCGGTGGTGAGCGCCACCACGGTGCTCAGGTGGTAAGGCGTCCAGCAGAGGAGGCACACGGCCAGGATTGCAACCACCAAGAAAGTCACCCGCTTCTTAGCGCGGTCCAGAGCCTTGGCGTGACTATCGAGGCGTATGGCGCGTAGCCGGCAGAGCAGGGCTATATAGAGGACACAGATGGTGGACACCGGGATGGCGAAGCCGAGCACAAGCGTGTAGAGGCGGCTCGCCCGCCACCAGAAAGCCTCGGGCTGCGGGAAGACCAGTACGCATTGGCGCCGGCCCTGTTCGTCGTCCAGCCGGGCGAAGACCACGAAGGGCAGCACAACCAGCGTCACGAGACCCCACACCGCCAGGCTCACGGCGCGTGCGGCGCCGTACGTGCGGCGGGTCACCCGGCGCGACTCTGCGGTGGCCAGCACCACCAGGTAACGGTCGGCGCTCATGACGGTGAGGAAGTAGAGGCTGGAGAAGGTATTGTACTGGTCGATGGCCACAGTGAGCTTGCACATGATCTCCCCGAAGGGCCACTGCCGCAGCAGGAAATCGGCGATATTAATGGGCAGCACGAGCGTGAAGAGCTCGTCAGCGATGGCCAGGTTGAGGATAAACAGGTTGGTGACAGTCTTCTTGCGGGGCGCCCGCAGCAGCACGTACAGCACCGCAGAGTTGCCCGCCAGCCCCACGGTGCAGATCACCGCGTAGACGACTGGCACGGCCAAGGCCAACGGCGGCGGCGGCGGCGGCGGCGGCGGGCTCCACTCGTTGAGGCATCCCAGCGCAGGGTCGGGGCACGACGTGTTGAAGAGCCCCAGCTCCGAGTACGAAGCGTTGTGCATCTCGGCGAGGGTAGGCGGGCGATTCCGCTTCCTTCCTCCACCGTTGCCCTGCGAGACTCTGCGGTTACTAAGCCGGCGTCTGCGCGGAGTTGCGCCGGGACGCTCGCGGCCGCGCTCCAAGCCCTTCTCTGGCCTGGGGGGGGGGGGGGGGGGCGCGTTCCTGGCCGCCTTCTTTGCCCACTGTGTCCACGGACTCCAGGGGCTGTAAAGCCGAATAGAAAACACAGCTTAGGCTCGTCAATTTACTTTAGGGAAGGGAGGGGGGTGGAAGCGGGGGAGACGGCGTCCCAAACCTGCCCCATGTGATCGCTCTGCTACCTGTTGAAATCTTATTCTAACCAGTGCTAAACGAAGTGCTAAATATTCTAACCATATTCTAAACGAAGTGCTAAAGAGAAGAGTCTTTACTTTCTATAGGAAAAACACTCATCTTCCCCGTTTTAGGACACCCCTGGCTGACCCGGGTCATCCCCTGAATTCTGCAGTGGCAAGCAAGCGTCGGTCCCCCTAGTTGCCGTGCGCCCTCGGTAACAGCAAGCTCAATCACAATCCCGACCTCACCTGGCTGGGAAAGGGTCTGCCTTTTCTGAAGCGGTCAGGAGAGGCGGCTGCGGGCTGCTGGGGAGGCCGCGGGACCAGCACGCTGAGTGTTGGACTTCAGACTTCCGGAGGCCGCAACTCGCTCCTCTGCGGATCCCGCCAGAGCGCTGGGAAACTCACATGGCACAGCCGCAACTGCTCCGCTGATCTGACCGCAGTCTCCACCATTTCAACTCCAAGTGAAACAGCAGTGGACCAAAGGACAGCATTCCTCAAAAATTACGGAATTATTTTCTTCCTTACAGTAGTGTAAACTCACTCCATATGAATTAATAAAAAGCTCTCCTGTTAAGAATTAAATTTAAGAAAACCAAAGTTAGAGTGTTTTTAAAATAGTTGACAGTCCTATTTCATTTTCTAAACTCCATACCCCAAATTGGCTAATGTAATTTTAAATTTCCAATTACATTCATACTACATTGTTATATAGAATGGGAAAGTGAATGCAATTTTAAAATGCAAATTACCCATTTTCTAATACTCTGGTCTTCGAAAAATTACAAGATTGTTAGTAAAAAATAATGGTCTTTCTAAAAAATATATGTAAGTAATGACTTCATTAACAAAGAGGAACTGCTTCTGAAAGCCTTGAGTTTCATAAAATGTTGCAAGTTGTTCAACACACAGTCTGGATTCTCCCCCTAAAAAAAACTACCCAGCAGTCACCGGCTCTGTTGCCAAGTGAGGCAGAACAGGCAGGGGCCAACCTGGGCTGCGATGCCGCTGTCTCACTGAGCTTCCAGTTCCTCCTATCTAAAGCGGAACTGACGTGGGCACCTCACCTTTGAGGATGAAATAAACTAAATGTTATTTCTCTCTAATTCCTATTTCTTTCTCCACATTCCCTTTGAAAAAGTCAGCAAATTAAAACACAGGATTCTATCCTGCTTCCCTCTAATAAATTTCCCTTCCAAAAGAGCAGGCAAAAGCCTGATTAAAGTGTGTTTGATCCTTTATGATGCATTTTGGACGAGAGGGCCTGAGATACTGAGAAAAAGACTGGAAGTAGCCAGTAGAAGAAGCCTCTGGGGGCAGAAACACAACGGTTTTCTTTCAATCCTCTCTTTAAATAGGAATCTACATAATTGTGGCTTCCCTGAAGTTTCATGCTTTCTATGAAGAAAATGACAAGAAAGTCTTAGGCTATGTCCATGAGGAAAAATATGTGAAAAAATACCATCTAGTGTTAAGTGAAACAAAAAGGATTATATATAACACATAATGCACACACATATATATGCATACACACAGATATGTGTATACATATGTATATATACATATATATGATACAGTTGCTTAATTTTCAAATATTTGGAAATTTTCTAGCTTTTCAATTATTGATTTCTAGCTTACACTGTAGACAGATAATATACTCAATATAATTTCAGTTCAATCATATTTGTTGAAACATTGCCCAGTATATAGTTATTTTACCAATTATTTCATGTATACTTGAAAATAATGTGTGTTCTACATTTGTTAGGTGCAAAACTCTACATATTGTCAACTAGTCAAATTCATTATTGTGTTGTTTAAATCTTTTTTCTAGTATTTTGATCAAATTGTTTTATCAGTTACTGAGAGAGATGTGTTAAAATGAGAGTTAAAGTTTGTGGATTCTCTAATTATACTTTTAATTCTATCGGCTTTACTATATAATTTGATGCTGTTTTATTAGGTGCACACTTCTTAAGATTGTTATATTTTCCTGTGGAATGGACTCTTTTATCATTATAAAATAATCCCTCTTTAACTGGATTACTACTTCTAGCTGTGTGTAGTCTCCTTTGTTTGATATTATTACAGGTATACCAATTGTATTTCTCTTAGTAGTTTTATGGAATATCTTTTGTTAAATCCGTTACATCTTTTTGTGTCTTTATGTTTAAAATATGTCCTATATAAGCATTATAAATGTTTTTTAATCCAGTATGACAATTTTTTGTCTTTGAATTGGATTATTTAGGTCATAATAAATTTAATGAAGCTATAAATAACATTAGGGTATACATAATATATTATCCTTTGTTTCCTACTACTATCTTATTCCCATCCCTTGTTTCCTTTCTTACATTCCTTTGGATTAAAATTTAATATTTTATTATGCAGTTTCCTTTCTTTCATTAACTTATTTATATGTTTTTATTGTTTTTAGAGATATTCTAGATATTACAATATGTAGCCTCGACTTTTTAATGTCTAGCCTAAATTATTACTTTTACAACCTTCCTAACAATGCAAGAACACTTAAACTTCATTTACTACTTCCTCTTTTTGTGATACTGTTAACATATAATCTAAATCTGTATGTATTTCAAACCCTACAGAACATTATTATTGCTGTTTTAAATAGTCAATATGCTTTTGTATGTACCCACATACTATATTTGTGGTCTTCCTGATTCCTTTTCCTTATAATTAAAGAACCCCCTTATATTGTTGTGCTGTTCTGCAGGTGATAAACTCTTACTGTTGTTGTTCTTTTGACCTGAAATTTATTTCCCCTTCATTTGTGAAAGATGTTTCACTGGATATGAAATTCTAGATTTTAAATGGTTTTATTTCAACAGTTTTTATGATTTTCCTTTTTTTTGCTTTCCACTGTATTTATTGGAAAAGTAGTTCCCCATCTTACTATCTGTAGCTCTTTTGAAGTAATATTTGCCTTTTTTTCTGTAATTTTTTAAATTATGTTTTTTATTTTGTCTTTCAGAAGCTATACTGTGATGGCCTAGGAGTGATTTTCTTTCGACTTATCCAAGTTTGAATTTTAGAGCTTCTGAAACCTATGACTTGATTTTTTTATTTCAATTTTGGAAAATTCTCAGCATTCTCTTGTTAAGTTTTTGCTCTGTCCCATTCGCTCTCTTCTCTCCTACTGAGACTCGTATTACATGTGTGTTAGACCTTCATTCTCTTTTCTGTTGTTTCTTGCCCTATTCCTCTCTGTTCTTCAACCTGGTCCCCTAAATCCTTGATTTTTTTGGTTGCTCCTCCATATCTTCAAACAGCTATTTCAGTCTTTTTTCACTTTTTAAAGTAGTTCAAAACAGGAAGGTTTGTGTGATACAAACTACTTCATCATAAGTAGAAGCAGAAATTAATATATGAAGTTTTCATATAGCATATGCTGTTTTGTTTAACACTGACAAGTTGACTTAGGAACTTAACTCTTGTTTATATCAATTACCTATGGTAAAATTGGTTTCATTATACATTGTTCCAATATTATTCCAATATTGTTTCAATACTGAATGTCAACTGTAATTAAAAAAATTTTTTTTAGTTAATAAAAGAAAAAAGTATACATGTAGGAAGCATTTGATGTCTTGCTTGCTGGCCTATTTCATCAGTTTGGGCTCAAATAAACTCATAAAAATTTTCAAAAAGAGTATATGTGTATATGTATGTTTCCTTATACATAATTATGTGTAAATATGTATAATTATGAAGGATGTACAACAAACTGTTAAAAATAGTTCAGTAGGATATGGATTTGGAAGCAATTTTTATTTTCTCTACACTTTTCTGACTTTGTGGAACCTTTTATAATAAATATATATTACTTTTATAATAGTATAAACCATGTTTTTAAAAGTCATGGTCATGGGCTGGCCGAGTGGCTCAGTTGGTTAACAGCTCACTCAAGAGTGCGAGCTCTGAGCAACAGCTGTTTGATTCCCGGCCCGAGCTGAGCTGCAGCTGAGCTCAGGTGGCAGAATGGCTCAGCTAACAAAAAAAAAAAGTCATGGTCATGAAATACTACAGAGAAGAAATTAACTATATGTAAGAAAGGAGATTCTTCCAGCACATGCAGAATTACTAAAGTCACAAAAAAAATAGTGAATCAATATTACACAAGGTATGGATCAAAGAATATGGTGAATGTTTAAATTTTTTAAAAATTATTACAGTAAAAGACACATTATCATTAATCCCTCTCACTTCAAACACACTTACCCATCATTCTTGCCACTTTCTGAAGTAGTTCTGGAAATCTTCTTTTGTGAGTGTCTTTAGTTGTGCTGTTGTGGCTGCCTTGATGTCCTGAATGGATTTAAAACATTTATCTTTCATGGTCTTTTTGACTTTAGGGAAGAGCCAGAAGTTGCATAGTGCCAGATCTGGTGAATAAGGTGAATGAGAAAACACTGTAATATTTTTATTTGACAGAAATTGCTGTATACCAGAAGCGATGTGTGACACTGAGCATTGTCATGGTGGAAGATGATTTAGGGCACACTATAAAACACACCTTCTCTCAACTGTAGCTCACACCTAACTGACTGCATTAAACAAGTTGAAACTTGTCACACAATGTTACTAAGGTTCAACACACCGCTTCCTGTATTAAAGATCTCTGCCTTTGGATGGTGACTGGCTGCAGCATTCGCCATATTTTTTTATCACACCTCGTAGATATGTAAAATATACACTGATCTGGAAAACGTACCTTTTATACCCTGAAGCCCACAACGTTGCCAAAACAGAGATTTCCAATAGCAGTTTGTACTG